TTAGTTCTAGTAATAGTTTCTTAACTCCTCCAGGATCTTCTGTAAAATATTTGATCATATGAAAATAGGGAGAGTTTTACTTCTTTTCTTATCTTTGTGTCTTTTATTTCTTTTGCTTGGTTAATTGCAATGGCTAAGATGGCCAATATGACAAAGAACAGGTGATAGAAGGAGGCATTCTGGGCTTTTTCTTGATCTTAGTGGGAAAAAGTTCAATATTTTACAATTAAGTGTGATATCTGGTTTCTCAGATATGAGTTATTATTTAATGTCCAGATATTTACAGTTTTCCTAGTTATTATTGATTTCTAATATAATTTGACTATGGTTAGATAATATACTTTACTGATTTTAATTCTCTTAATATAATGAGACCATGTACACCTGAAAAAAATGTGCATTCCATGGTTGTTGAATATAGTATTCTATAAATGTCAATTAGGTCAAGGTGAGTTCACAGTATTTTTCATATCTTCTATATCTCCAATTATTTATTTTTCATCTAGTTGTTTTACAACCACTGAGAGAGATGGTATAAAAATTTCCTAATATGATTGAATAGAATTACCTGTTTTTTCCTTTAATTCTGTCCATTTTTCTTTCATGTCCTTCTTTATCTCTGGTAATACTTTTTCTTTTTGTCTATTTTATTTGATATTAAAATAAATAAGTCCATCCTTCTTATGCTGTTTGTATGGTGTATTTTTTCCTATGCATTTATTTATATTGTTTCTTTATATTTTAAGTGCTTCTCTTTTAGGCAACGTATGCAGAGTCTTGCTTTATTCCTACCCTAATAGGAGCAGTTGGACCAGGGGTCAGAAGACTTTCTGTAAATGGTCAGATAGTAAATATTCTAGACTTTGTGAGCTACATAGTGTTCTCCCTTGCTGTTACTTAATTCTGTGGTTGTAGCATGATGGTAACCTTACACAGTATGTGAAAAAAAGCATGTGGCCAAATTTATCTGCAAGCCTTAGTCTGCTGAATCCTGGTCTAAACACTCCCAGTTAGGATCATAACATTTAATGTAATTCTTGCTAAGGCAGGATCATCTCTACAATTTTATTTTTTGTTTTCTGTTTCCATCCTCTGTTTTATGTAACTCTGTTACCACTTCTTCACTTCTTTAGATTATTTGAATACTTCTTAGTATTTCATTTTAATTCATCTATTGGCATTTTGGTTAGTATTTCATTTTAATTCATCTATTGGCATTCTGGTTATATCTCTTTGTATTTTTGCTTTTTTTTTTTTAGTAGTTATTCTAGGAAATTATATGTAGAAAAACTTTCACAGTCTACTTTTAAATTTATACTGTACCACTTCATGAGATATTTAGAAATCTGACAACCACTCGGTCCCCTTAGCCCATCCCCCACTAACCTTGATGATGAAGTTGTCTTTTTTTTTTTTTTTGGCTGTGTTGGGTCTTCGTTGCTGCTCACGGGCTTTCTCTAGTTGCAGTGAGCTACTCTTCCTTGTGGTGCGCGGGCTTCTCATTGCGGTGGCTTCTCTTGTTGTGGAGCACTGGCTCTAGGTGCACGGGCTTCAATAGTTGTGGCACGTGGGCTCAGTAGTTGCGGCTCGTAGGCTACAGAGCACAGGCTCAGCAGTTGTGGCACACGGGCTTAGTTGCTCCACAGCATGTAGGATCTCCCTGGACCAGGGCTCAAACCTGTGTCCCCTGCATTGGCAGGTGGATTCTTAACCACTGCGCCACCAGGGAAGTCCCAAGTTGTCTTGTATATTAAATCCACATACATTGAAAGGTCTAGCAGACAGTGTTATGGATTTTGCTTTCCACAGTCATATGTATTTTTTTAAATAGTTAAAAAAAAAGATTTATCAAGCTATTTATCATTTCTGTTGGTTTTCCTTTATTTCTGAAGATCCAAGTTTTCATTTGGTACCACTCCCTTTTAACTTGTAGAACTTCCTTCAGTATTTCTTGTAAAGTAGAGGTGCTGGTGACAATTTTCCTAGTTTTCTTTCATGTACAGTGTCTTTATTTCACTTTAATTTCTGTGAGACATGCACACTGTCTTGACAGTGTTTTTCTGTTAGCATTTTAAAGATATTGTTCTAATGTCTTCTGCCCTCTGTGGAGTTTTTTGTTTGTTTTTTTTAATATTTACTTATTTATTTATTTGGCTGCATTGGCCCTTAGTTGCAGCAAGCAGAATCTTCATTGCCACATGCGGGATCTTCGTTGTCACATGCGGGATCTTTAGTTGCAGCATGCAGGATCTAGTTACCTGACCAGGGATTGAACCTGGGCTCCCTGCATTGGGAGCGCAGAGTCTTAACCGCTGGACCACTAGGGAAGTCCCATGTCCTCTATGGTTTTTAATGAGAAATCGGCACTCATTCAAATTAAGCCATATATAATGTATCTTCTTGCAGCTGCTTTCAAGATTTTTAAAAAATTTATCCTTGGTTTTTAGCATTTTAATCACAACGTGTCCAAGATAAACATGCTTGGGACTGGGTAAACGTCATGAATATGTAAAAGCCTATCTCTTTCTGCAAATTTGGGAAATTTGTACAATTATTTGTTAATATTTTTCTGGCCCCAGCTTTTTCTCCTTATCTTCTGGAATTCCAATTACACACATATTTGAACATTCCGTCCCACAACCACTGAAGATTCGATCCTATTTTTAATATCTTTTCTTTTCTGTTTTCCAAATTCATAATTTCTATGCACAATGTTCAAGTTCAATGACTCTTCTGTCACATGCAGGTCACCTCTAAGCCCATATGGTATGGTTTTTTCTTTCAGATATTGTATTTCCAATTCTCAAATTCCATTTGATTGTTTTTTTTGTTTTTTTTTTGCGGTACGCAGGCCTCTCACTGTTGTGGCCTCTCCCATTGCGGAGCACAGGCTCTGGATGTGCAGGCTCAGCGGCCATGGCTCACGGGCCTAGCCGCTCCACGGCATGTGGGATCTTCCTGGACCGGGGCACGAACCTGTGTCCCCTGCATCGGCAGGAGGACTCTCAACCACTGCGCCACCAGGGAAGCCCCATTTGATTGTTTTTATACTTTACTTCTCCATTGAGAATTCTTACGTTTTTCATTCAGTGTTGCTTTCCTTTACACCTCATAAAAAAAAATTATAATAGCTGTTTTAAAGTCTTTTTTGCAATTCAATTATTTAAAAACCAAATTGGGAACATTCATTTATGTTGTTAGTTTTTGCTTTTTTTCCCCCAGCGTATATAGAATAATCAGTGGGACTGATGGGCTGAGATGGGCTTCTGCTGCTATGACAGAACTAAATCTATTTTTTCCCTTTTAACAGCTTCTGTGATAAAGGATCTAAAGAAGGTGAATCTGTTTCTCTATAATCTGTTTGCTAGAGCTGCCATATAAAAGTGCCATAAACTGGGTGGCTTAAAACAACAGAAACTTATAGTTTCATGGTTCTGGAGATCAGAGAGTCCCTACTCAAGGTAATAGCAGGGCTATGCTCTGGGACTCAGGAGAATCCTTCGTTGCCTCTGGTTCTTCTGGAGGTAGCCAGCAATCCTTGTGTTCTTTGGCTTGCAGCTGGATCAGTCCAATCTCTGCCTCCATTCACATGGCACTCTCCCTGTGTATCTTCACATCAACTTCCCTCTGTGACTATCTACTTCCAAATTTCCCTTTTTATAAGGATATCAGTCAACTAGATGAGGGCTCACCCTAATGAATTCATTTTAGCTTGATTACCTCTGTAATGATCCTATTAACAGATAAGGTCACATGATGAGATACTACAAGTTAGGAATTCAACGTATCTTTTGTTGGAGACACAATTCAACCAACAAATTTTCCTTCCTCTAGGAAATGCATTTCAACAACCATCAGCAGTAGCATTCAAAGAATAATCTAAGAGGAGTTAAGTCATTTCATAATTATTCTCTTCTATACTACTATGGGTCATAATAGAATGGCAAATGGCCATTAATATGGAATATTTACTATTGTTCAAAAGAATTTACTACTGATTATAAAAGAAATTACTTTCATAATGGTGGATAAGCTATTAGTTTAGTATAACTGCCTCATCATAATTCTAACTGTATGTATTTTTTAATAAGGCCATCACCAAGATTAAATTAGCAGGTCCGATCTTTTCAAAATGCACAAATATATATGAAAGTTAAACCAAACTGTAGAGTATACAGTAGGTGGAGCAAGGCAGAGAGAAGAGGGGAAAGAAGGAGGATGGTTTCAGTAAGGAGGCTCTATAACATATGAATAATATTTGAACCCACTTAAAAAAACACACTTTAAAAACTAGCTCGTCACCACTAATGCTGGAATAAACAAAGATTTATCGACATTGACCTAACAGATCCAATAAAGCTCTAAAAAGTATTGTTTTAAAAATATAATTTCAAATACTATTCAACGTTGATAATCTGTGTAGAAAATATACAAGAGTCTGCTTGAGGTCAAAGAAACAAGTATTAAATTATATGTAATTAATAATTTGTACAAACCCAGGAGATCTGAATTCATACTAAATTATAAAACTGTAGAATATAACATGTTTGGCCTATCCCAACTGGAATGTTAAAGGATTAACAAAATGCCTTTTTTAAAGAGTAAACAGTGCTTTTTTTCTTTTAAATACTGCATGTTGAGCAAAAGAAGTTTTGAGTGAGAAACTGATCAGAAATTACATTTGATCACTTCAATAGACTCTTCCAGTCTGACAGTAAAGTAGTTCTTCACCGTTTAAAAAACTTTACATCTGCAACTGATTTCATTCCATCAGCCAAAAGATGCATTTATGCTGCCACCATTACATTTTCAGAAGAGTTTGAATTACAAAACTTGAGAGAACTTCAAAGCAATACTTAATCTAACCATTCTGATCTTGATGGCCCTGTTAAAAATAATTTAAGACACTTAATAGAAGAGAAACCCTTCAACAAAATGAGTAACAATTGTTCTTAAATCACATTATTTTAAATTTCCTTTCATAAATCAAATGTACCAACCTGGGGGTTCGAGCATTTTATCTCAAGTGACTCTAGGTCAACATGCAGACAGACAACAAATGAATGCCTCATATCAGGTCCTGTAGCGAGTAGTTTTTGAGATGTAACAGCTAGAGTAGAGGTACAACCCATAGGTTCCACTAGGCAAAGTGTCACTTGTTTTCCAAAAAGGGTGTATATGCTGAAATGATGCAAGCTGATGGTCCAAGGAAAGGCATCACCTGAAAATGGGTATAAAAGTGGGTAGGGAGGCACACAAACAAAAATATAGTTAATTGTCACTCGATAGTAAGGTATCTACTGTTAATATTTGAAATATAAAACAGTTAATATGGCATCATAAATAGCGTATACTGTATCCCAGAGACCAACATGTTAAACAGTTTACATGTTATATAAGAGTTACCTTTTAAAAATGTTTATATTTATTATAACATACTACTATATCAATAATGTACATTATAAAACATACAAAAGTAGAAATTAAGGAAATGAGATAAAAATATAAATACAAGTTCTAACTTTTTCTTCCCTCACCCTTGTACTAGTGGGTTGTACAGTGCAACTGCTGGGATGTATGCATTATATCTTGGAGACCACAGAGAATGTGTTAAATTAGGAAAATTAGGAAAATGAACTAAAGGTGACCACAGATCTGACTGCAGAATAAAAAAAGAATAAACAATTTACTATGGTCTGTTGGACCATCTGCATCAGAGTCATATGGGTGCTGATATAAAATACAGATTCCTGGTTTCTACTTCAGACCTACTTAATCAGAAATCTCTGATGGTTAAGACCCAGGACGCACGTACATATCTTCAGTTGGTGATTCTTATATATGTTATTTTTAAATCAAGTATATTTTATTTAAAAATAAAAGTACTCACATTTCAGAATTAAAAGCAAAATTTCTTTCATTGTTTTAAATTTTTTCCTTTTATTGATTTACCAGAGAAAAAAATTGTTAATATAAATTTATGAGATAAAACTATCTTTTTTTTATTGTGGCTATAGATAAAATACTTTGTGAAATAGCATTAAAAATGTACTCAGTATTAAAACATTCGTAAATATTCATTACTGGGATGCCAATTTGATGGAAAATATGTTCCTATGACTTGTATTTTTGACTTTGCAATTCTACTGGCACTTGATAGTATAGATAGTATAATACAGACTTCTTTTTAAGTATCTAGTTCTAAAACAAATTGAAAATATTTATCTTTTAATTAGAGAGGTACTAGTGTCTCACTGAAAATAACTTAGAAAATATAATATAAAAAGAAAAAAATCAAAACCAGTCATAATTCACCTTCCATCTTGCTACTCCCAGGAATACGCACTATTAACATTGTTATTATTTTTCCTTCAAGTCTTCTTTTTTCCCCCCTGTAGTGTGGGACACGCTCACACAGAGTTGGAACCAGATCACATCGTACTATTAGGTTCATGTTATTTTTTAGCAAGGAAAAAAATACCAAGTGAATAACTAAGTAGATCATGCTATAAACATACATACTAAAGGAATATAAATAAGTATTTGAATTGTGAATGGTGATACTCAGGGGATGCTACAAGATAGATTCTCATATGTTTGAACATTCAAAATGTCTTGATCAAGTAGTTAAGAAAATTAAAATCAGAAACTTTGAAATTGAGACCTGGATAATAAAATAAATCTAGCTACATAGCAGTCCACAACAACTTGACTGGAAACAATGGAAACTGCATAATAATATGTGGTCAGCATCGTGGTACTCTGCCTGTCTTAAGACTTAAAATATTTTGCCCCCAGAAAAGAATGACAAACTTTAAATCATCTGTAACTAATTCTGAAATTATTTTAAAACCTACACAAAGTTCCAGGCTATTTACAAAATAAAGGCTTTGCCAAATTTGTCTTAAAATACTTTGGAATGATTTCAGGTTACATATTTTAAAATCTGTAGTGAGCTATACATAGTCTTTCAAATTTTATGTTATCCAAGAAATGTTAAATGGTGATTATGTTGGGTAAAAAGCACCACATTTAAATTCATGAAATAGAAAAAAAGAATTCCAAATGACATTGGTACTATCTCAGATATGTGTCTCTGCTTCTTCTTTGGAATCAAACCATAACCTGAAATTGGGTATACCATATTCTAAGTCTTAAACAGAACCTTTTAAGGTAATATTTTACGTCCATTTATTTAACAAGCATATCATCTATTTTAAAAAGTACACTCTATCTAGAAGAGCTTAACATGTAATGACAAACATTCCCACAATTAATCACTGTGAAAAAATTATCAAAACATAACACATCACTACCTGCACACCTATTCCTTTTACACACACACACCAAAATAAAAAGCACCTCATCTATTTACAACACTGGCAATATACTGTTCTGAGAACTCCATAAAATATGCTCAGATATCCATGACGGACCAGGATCATGTACTATTCTGAGAACTTCAAGACTAGTATTTTAACATTAATGACAAAGTGCTAAGGCTATAAAATGAGTCTTTCATTTTAGAAAAATTATTTATTGCTGGCAGAATTCAGAAATAGTCAAATTGTCTAAAGAACAAGAAAAAATAAAAACAAAGCAGGAGGACTGAAAATTTCATTTCTGTGTGAAACCTCTATATTATTAACAGAGAAAAGAATACCAATAAATTAATTCTCAAAAAATGATAACCAAACACTAATGAACTTCAGATGAGTTAACGTAAAAGAAAGTGAATATGGCAAAGCTTTGAGACAAAATGAATAAATAGAATTCAGTGTGAGACTATGTGATACATGTGTCAACAGTGGGGGAGAGGGACCCTGATCATATACATCTAATTTACAGTCTTCAATACTGGTGGGCAGGGATCAATATTCTGCAAAGAGAATTGGTCTTTCCCTTTCTAAAGATGCTGTGCTTTATTATAGGAAAAAGTATATATACTTTGCACCAAGGTAAATCACCTTACAAAGATCAATATGGAAAATGAAGAAAGAAAACTGTTCAATATTAGAGATACTCCCCCTCAGTTTTCTTTCTTTCATAACCTTAGTCATTACGTGTCTTTAGAAACAAACAAAAAGGTGTCTTTCCTCTTCTTCTTAACTCTTTTCCCTATGTCCCACAATCCAGTATGTCTCAGGCAGGTTTTTATTTCAAATATGAAATAGTGTAATGAGGAATATTTTACTGCTAATTGTGAGGGTTAACAATTTGGAAACAGATGCAGTGTATTCTACAAACATAAATGAGCCAAAAGTGCTGACCCTGTTTCCCCAAACCACTTAGCACTAAACTGATTTACAGACAGTTGAGATAAAGGGTTTCTTTAATTCTACATGATATTAATTTAAGCAGTGGGAATGTTCGAGGAATGAAGGCATTAAAAAAGATATAAAGCATAATCAATTCTCCTGGCAGAGGAGAACTGCTGAAATGCCTGGAAGAGAAGGAAATGAAAATGAGCAACATATAGTTTTATTTGCTCTGTAACCAAATTTCTACTTTGGAAGAAAATACTGCTTTGTATTAGGAAATGTAAAATGTATTGCATGTATAAAATAATAAAAATTAAAAATATATTAAATTTATATAAATATATAAAATTTATACTGAAAAATATCATGATTATTAAATCATGATAAAATAGATAATTCATTTCAAATTTGTGAAATATTTTCTTCATATCTAGAAACCCAAGCATTCAGTGCTTGATTCACTTCTTTAATCCTTCCATAGGCCTTTGTGCATATATAAATGTTTATAAACTCAGCATGTATTTAAAAAAAAAGGGTGTGTGTGTTTCCCTGGTGGCGCAGTGGTTAAGAATCTGCCTTCCAATGCAGGGGAGACGGGTTCTAGCCCTGGTCCGGAAAGATCCAACATGCCGTGGAGCAACTAAGCCCGTGCGCCACAACTACTGAGCCTGTGCTCTAGAGCCCGCGAGCCACAACTACTGAAGCCCACGCACCTAGAGCTTGTGCTCCGCAACAAGAGAAGCCCGCGCACAGCAACAAAGAGTAACCCCTGCTCGCGGCAACTAGAGAAAGCCCGCGCGCAGCAACGAAGACCCAATGCAGCCAAAAATAAATAAATAAAATAAATAAATTTATTTTAAAAAAAAAGCATTCAGTGCTAACTAGTATTCACGTCTGAATATTACTGCTTTAATCATAACTTAATCATCAAATTTTCATTAGTGTATAAAGAAATATAATACTGTTTTTTAAAATTCCTTAAAACTTATGACTGCAAATATAAACAAGGCAAAACCAGAACAATTATTGCTTTTAAAACTAAAAGTAACCTCAAAGACTAGTGCTGTCCTTCAAGCAATTAAAATATCAGTAATTACAGTTTTAAAAGAGGTGTCGAAATTATAGCAATGCAGAATTTATTTAAGGTCATATGATCAGCTAACGAGACATACCCTCAGTTGCTACAGCTTGTCAAGATATGTTACAATTAAACATTTTCTAAAGTGACTTACCACTAACTAATGGCACGTCTTACCTCACTTAAATTATTACACAGACACTTACATAATTAAGGAAACATTATCATAAAATATTTCTTGGGTCTCATGACTCAGTGATATGATATATGGATTATAACTTAAAAAATAAATATAGGGTAGTTTAAAGATCCTTATTTTTAAATGCTATTTTTTGCTTCCTGATTGTTTTCTACTTTAGCTTTTTCTTAAATAAATGAATAGCCAATTTATTCCTCATTAAGCTTTTTATTGAACATGTACTTTACAAACACCGTGTCCTCAAAACTTTAATAACGTAAAAAAAGTGATTAAGACATGATTCCCTTTCCAAAACATTTTCAGCTATATACATTATATTTACAAAAATAATAAAAAATACTTATAATCATTTACAACACAAACATCCTAGATAATAAATTCACTTATCATTTCCCTTAACATAACACATAGTACATGTAGACATTTTAGTCAATTTGAGTTAAATCTATTACCTTCCCAAGACTTCTGTAAAAGAACTGTTTACTGCTATTAGATGAAAGTCAAGACTGACTAATGCATAAAAGCTTTGCCATGTTAACCTTCCTAATAAACGAGTATTTGTTAGGAATAAAAGATACACATTTGTGTATTCATTTTATATTACTGACAGAGTATATCAATTTACTTAAGTTGATAAACTGGTTTACTGAGTGCATTAGAACACTATGACACTGCCTCTACAG